AGTTGAAGAATTTTTATAACAGATGATGAAATGGCAGTACTAAAAGTCTAAGAAGAGATTAGGAAAGAAAAGCATCAATCTAAGAGGTGATCCAAAAAGGGAGGTAGGACAATTTGAAATGACATCAAAATTATTTAAAATTTCGTAGTTTGATTTGATGAGCTTATTTTGGTTAGGAAATATCAAAAAAGTAAAAAGCTAGAAAAATAATGAAAAACTTATAAAAGTAAAACACTTATTTACACAAATCAAATACATAAATTGCATGTACTTTCATAAGTTTGCAATTATTATTTTTTTAAACTTTCCACTTTTTTAATATTCCCCCTTATTATAAATAAGGAGTAAGCATTAGGGAAATACAATTTTTCATAAATAATATTCAAATTTTCTGCTGCTAGTTTTTTTATCACAGTTCGAGGTGTCCAATTGTGGTTTTTTTCCACGTAAAATCGTTGTGTTTCTTTGTCTTGATTGTTTGATTGTTTGATTGGGATTATTATATTCTGCTTAAAATTGATACATAATCACAAATCAACATTTAGGGGATTTCTAGATTTTTCACGTATTTAGATTCAACTCTTTTTTGTTTTTGTGTCAAGATTTAATCGAAATATGTGACTTGTGGGTGATGTATATATGCATGCAAGTTTTATCCTGTTGAGGTGGATCCAATGCAATCCTACCCTGACAACAACTATGAGGGTTAAGTCTGAAATTTCAGCATAATTGTATACTTATCTAATAATATGCGGCTATGCTGTAACTTTGATCTTATTTTTCTGAAAAAATGGTTAGATGCCGCCTTATTATTGGGTGAACACATGATCACATAATATTTTTGGAATACTTGAGATGAATTTTTTTTATTATTAATTTGATGAAAAAACAATGTAATTATTTATTGATGATAATAAAACTACCACATCAAAATGATTTTAAAAAATGGAATGTGTAGAGCTTAAGCGTGTATTCAGATTATGAATTTGGATAGATATTTATAAATGGAAAGGAAAAGGTGAGAAAAATTGTGAAAAAAACCTAACTTATATATCATTCACATTTTGTCTTTTCTTTTGTAAATCTCTATCCAAATACTTTATTAAACACAGTCTGAAAGGGTGCTGTGGTTTGGCCAATTGATGTTCTCACAAGTTTTGCTTGATTATCACAATGTGGGTATCGTATTGTATGGTTAACAGTTAGACAAAAATAATTTGAGAAAAGTAAAATCTATGATATATAACGGTATTGAAAAGTGACTTTGTAAGTCAATAAAATAAAAGTAAATGAAAAGGAATGGATATAAAATTCACAGGCCAAGTTGCCTTAGTTGTGGATTCATTTTGTAAGCATCTGAAATATTTGTGCCCCTCAAATTCCCTAAAATAAAGTCATCAACTTAGTTGCACAATAGTTTTATAGTTATTTTTATCACTACAAGACACATCAACAAAAAACACATAAAAGTTGAATTCAAAACTAAAATAAAAAGACATTAAAGTCACAAATGATATAATTTTATTTCAACGTTAAACATAATAATAGACCTTTGGATTACTACATGAAACACAATTGCAAAGTCAGCTTCCCAATTGTGTGAAACATGTCTATTTTGGCTGTTTAGTATGCCGTGTCCACATTAATTTGATTTTTCATGGTCGAAATCACATAAAATCTCAGAAATTTAAAGGAAGTTACAGAGTCTATATTCTACATATATTTATATATCATATTTCTAATTGTAAATTTTCGTTGCTTTTGTCATTCAAAACCATGGATTATTAAAAACCCAGCTCAAGAATTTGACTTTTTTAATGTGGATTTCAAAAAAGAAAAAGAAAAATTCTCTTTAGTATACACAAAGGAGCTAGATTGACTATTCTCTTGTGAAAATAACTTGCAAACCCCTTTGAAACTTCCACTTTCTTTTTGAAAAAATGAAATGTTTACATAATTTTTAATAAGAATAATGTGATAGTAGCATCTTTAAAAATATAGATAATAATCTTAAGGGGTCTTTTGCTTTAATGTGAGAAAATCAAAACTTGCCATATCATTGTATTATTGTTGTGCATATATATATATATATATATTGGTTTATATAACACACTACTTTCTTTTCAATTCTCAGAGTCTTATATTTCTTAATGTAAAACAAGTAGTTGAAGAATTTTTATAACAGATGATGAAATGGCAGTACTAAAAGTCTAAGAAGAGATTAGGAAAGAAAAGCATCAATCTAAGAGGTGATCCAAAAAGGGCGGGGTCAGTTTTTAGGATTACTTCTCCAGATCTTCTTTTTGGGTTCTAGGGTTTATATCTGGGGATACTTTGTGAGTTTTCTTTGATGTTTTTATTGAGTATTCAACTCATGGTTTAAAGAGAGTACATCAAAGGTTGTGTTTTGTTCTACAAAAGAGAGAGTTGTTCTTCGGTGGATTCTGAAGAATTCAAGCCTGAAACTTTGGTGGATTCCGGGATGGCTCATCGTAAAGACAATTCCGAGGTGAAGACGGGTTGGAAGAGTCACATAGAGGTTGGTTCAATTAGGCGTGGATTCGCTAGGTAATTGAGAGTATACCTGTTTAATTCCTTTAAATCTTCTTAGTGGATTATTTTGTGGCTGTTGCCCGTGGTTTTTTTATCACAGTTGGAGGTGTCCAATTGTGATTTTTTCCACGTAAAATCGTTGTGTCTCTTTGTCTGCCAAATTTCTGTTAAAGGGGCAGCCTTATTTCCTTTTTGGGATCAAACTGGAGCTTGTTGTTGGGCTCGGGGAGACTCATCAGGGGTTCTGTTTCAATGATTCGAATCATTCAATGTATAAAACTCGTCAAGCATTTCATCTCTACAAAAAATTACGTTAATTGGATATTGATAACCACTTGATCAAATCATATTTTTGTCAACAATAAATGTGATTTTCAAAATAAATTATTGACAGAAATCTGATCTGATCAAGTAGCTATTGATATTCGATTAATGTTATTTTTTGCAAAAATGAAATACTCAACGAACTCTATACATTGAACGGTTCAGATTATCGAAACAAGACCCGTGGTGGGCCACATGGGCTCGAACATCACGGGCCAATCCATTATGTGGACTGGAGAGAATCAATTTCCTTAATTTTTCAACCTATATAAGTATATTTTTTTAATTTTTACGAAAAGATATACAATGTGATAGAGAGATGATACACAAATAAAATAAAAAAATTATTAAAAAAAAATGTGCTAAAGTAACACATGCCAAACAACCTCATAGTCTAGAATGAGAAGAAAATTCAAACTCATGAAATCTAGGTTTGACCTTATACATATATATACTCTTTCTTTTACAAGTTTAATTTTAAAGGTGAGTTTTGTTTTAAATATTCATATCAAATGTTCAATACACTGTGTTACCTCTTGAGAGGCTAATTTGTATAGCTAAATTGGGCTGAGCTATGTGGAAGCGGCTTTGTGGTTTGGGTCAAGCTATGTCTTGGAGATAGCCTGGTTCTGGGCCGAACAAAAGCTACGTCAGTCAAAGATATTTGACTGGACTAGTAGATGATCGTATATTCTTGGACCAAGTTACTTCATAGGGGCGGTCAATTCTTTGACCGAGTTATATGGAAGGCAGTCAAACGAAGCTGAGAATGGAGCTTTGGCGGAGCTTTGGAAAAAGCTGTACAACATCAGCAAGGTAGCACAGCGAGCAGATTGTACATGGTGTCGCGTGTTGCGTGGCTAAGACAACAACAGATAGAGTCAAATAGCTCGGTTGCTCGGCGGGAGGCCGTGCAAAGAGTTGTGTCATTTCACTTGGATTGCCGTGAGGAGGGTGTTAAAAGATAAGCGTTATTCTTTAGGAGTGTGATTCCTAGGTGAACGCTACAAATGAAAGTTAGAATCCTACTAGGATTGTGCCACGCGAAACTTACAAAATTTCAAATCAAACCCTAATCTTAAGTATTGCAATTATTATCCTCAAATTCACAAAGCTTTGTTTTCCTAGTCTACTTGCTGATTTAGGCATCGGAGGGGCTTCCGGCACACACCCGCAGACCAGCTCACATTTGTGATTTCAGGTGTTACGATGACATTTGGAAGAACGCAAGCTTGATCAACAGGATTATACGAACGAAGATTATTTCGTAGTCGTACACCTCTTATTCTTTTTAGTTGTCTTTCTTTACTGTCTGCAACTTATTCTACTGTTATCACCAGCCTTTGTTGCTATTGCAATAGTCACTCTAACTATTGCTACCATCCTAACATTCTATGTCCTTATCATTTTACCACTGCAACAGACACTTTAGCCGTTATAATCACCCCAACTTCCCCCGCCCCTCGCGATTCCATACTACCTATTCTTTCTCTTTTTCTCCAAATTACTACCATTGTTTTCCCACCCTTTCTTGCCACTAGAATTGTCATTAGTTATAAAAACTAATCATGATTCAATTATTACCTGTTGCATAATGTAACTTTCCTTTTTTCCTTTCTGTTGATTGTAAGAAAAAAAAAATACGAAAAATGTATCTAGCACAATTTAAAAGCAAGTTATGAAAACTAAGTTGCTTAAGTTTAAGATAAGACTCAATGCAAAATTTTCACTTCAAAACAAAATACTAAAATAAATTTATTTACAAAAATAATATTGCCACGCCATTCTTATAAAAATTTGTATAAATTTTGTGTGTAAAAAGTTTACATTTATCCAAACGAAAAAATATTTCCATTGCTTTTTCATGAGCTTGGGTTTCTTTAAGCTTGAGGCATGATTTACCCTTTTATTTGGCTTTGGGGTTGCAACAAAAAACATTGATAGAGCCTTCAATGATTTCGTTTTCAGTGTTTTTGTTTGTATTTTTAGAATTTTTCAAAAACAATAATGATGAGAAGTTTGGAAACACAACCATCTCCAAACAAATATATATATATATATATATATTATATTCCTTTCCAAACAAATTTTGGTATTTTCAGAGACAAAACAAAAACACAAAATAACTTTAGTAGATAGACAAATCTATCATTTAAATTAAATTAATATTTTCAAAATACAAATTCAGCAACAGTATATTGATTGACTACCTTGAACTTCTGCTTCCATCCTAGAAGGCTAGAACATCTATCCAAAAGCATAACACTTAACCCAACTAAAAGAACACAGCACAAGAACAATACATAATGATTTCGAATAAATGTACGATATATCATTCAGAATTTCTACTATGGCATCTCAAGAGGCTTCTCCGCATGCCATGAAAACCCACCTGCCATTTTCAAATCAACAGTGGTGCAATCAACAGTGCCTTGCAAGCTTTACTGTCAAAATTCCCTAGAACAACCGTCTAAATACTAGAATTCTCAACCTTACAATCCTCATATCACCTTTTGTTTTGGTGCCTACTGAAGCAATAGTAGTGGCAGTTGCAATACACGAGCAATATTGTACACTTCGCATTATGAACTATATACAAATTCATCGGAATTGTTACCTTCATAACCCACACAAGCTTATCCAACTACCAATCATAGAAGCCAACCACTTTCCCCCATTTCACACAATACTTCTACAAAAACCAATCACAAAAAAATGCATAGAACAGTCAAAGGGGTGCGGGATCTGCATTTGTGTGAGCCCATCTCATGTGAGTGCTTTGTGCACTTTTCTGTTGCTGGCGTCTGTGTACCTAAGCTTTTCTGCATACCTAGGCTTTTTTGTCGTCATATCCATGATCCTTCCCTTACCTTTCACTTTGTCCCCAGAGGTTTCCATTAGCATCGAGCTTCTTACAGGTTGTCGAGAAGTACGTATTTCTTGTGAAGCTTCGACGATCTGGTTCACCATCTCCAACACCTCACTCATCTTCGGGCGTGACTTTGCATTTCTGATCAAGCACCGATTGGCAACAATAGCTAGATTTTGGGTTGACTTGAGGGAGCCATTCCATTCAAGCCTAGGGTCCAATATCTGCTTAAACTTCTTTGTGTATAGGATGGGCACGGAGTGAGAGAAGTTTCAGTTGTTGATATATATATATATTCATTTTAGAGAGAGAGCCGAGAGCCGAGAGAGAGGCCCTGCATGTGTTTGTGTATATTATTTAGCAGATGATGATGATGATGATGAGGATAAGGATGAGTGGAGCAGCGTTCGATAGCTTGCTCAGATCTGGCACATTGGCGGCCGTAAACGCCTCATCCGATGGCGCAAACACCGTCACCTTGCCGCCTTTTAAGTCGGTGATGTTGACGGAGCAAAGGAGTTCGCGATGATGACGCTGTTGTAGTTGTGTGGCGAGAGTGTGTGGAATAGGGGTTTGCTTGTCAGGGAAGGTGGGATTCCTTCATTGGCAAAGAAGAGAGCTCAGCAAGTTGATTGAGCCATTGTAAGGCAGAGAAGAGTTCAGCTATGGAATTTGTGTAGAGGTCCGGCGGGCGGCCAAAGCGAGACTGCCACCCACCGGTGAAGCAGAATGACTAGGTTGTTAACCTAGCTCTGATATCATGTAAGATAAATTGATAGAGAGAGAAAGCAAGTGAATAAATGAGATGTGTATATACTTTGTTAATTTACAAAGGGAGCCTAGCTCTCTTCTTATAGCCTGTGATGTACATTGGATGCGAGGCACTGAAAGCATAAAGCTGGGGACACTAATTATTAAAGCTAAACACTAACATATAATAATATACTAACATTCGAGATATGGAATAAATCCTTTCATTTTTCCCTCTCTAATTGGTAGGAGATTAATAAATATAAGAATAATTACATGATGTGAAATAAATTCCCTTCATTAATTACATGTGAAATAAATTCCCTTTATTTTTTTCCTGAAAAAAATCTAGAAATCCTCTAGATGTTGATTTGTGATTATGTATCAATTTTAAGCAGAATATAACAATCCCAATCAAACAATTAAGACAAAGAGACACAACGATTTAACGTGGAAAAAACCACAATTGGACACCTCCAACGGTGATCAAAAAACCACGGGCAACAGCCACAAGAACAATCCACTAAGAAGAATTAAAAGAATTACACAGGTATACTTTCAATTATCTAGCGAATCCACAACGCCTAATTGAACCAACCTCTATGTGCCTCTTCCAACCCCATCTTCACCACGGAATTGTCTTTCTGATGAGCCACTCCGGATTCCACCAAAGCTTCAGGCTCGAATTCTTCAGAATCCACAAC